TTAAATTTTTTTTTATTTTTTTGTTTTTTTTTTTTTTTTTTATTTTTTTTTTTTTCCCCTTTCCCTTTTTTTTTTTTTTTTTTTTTTTTTAATACATACGTAAAGATGAACATCAGGAGAGTAACTGTTCTATTATCCGTAAATTCTCTCATCCAAACAGCCTTATCCCTCGCGTAGTTGGGATCCTACTGTACTAGTTTTTGATTGATCTTTGGATAAGTGCGATCAAAAAAGAATTTACAAAAAGGACTCATTTATTAACTTCGAGCGTCAACGAAGTTTCTGGTTGAGTCCAAATGTAGCCTGTACGTGTTATACTGCAATGAGCGTCGTAATATCTGCCAGGAGCACGACAATAGGACCATCTTGGACAACGGCAGCGGAATTTGCTGTGAAATTCTTCTTTGCAGACCTCATTCCACCAACAAGTCCGCTAGAAACAGACATTCATTCATAACTCATGAATAATGTATAGACTGCGAATATCTATGGAAATTCACGTTGGAAATTCATTTTGTAAACACAATTGAAAGACTAGGAGAATGATTAGAGCGAAGGTGGTACAATTTTTGATTTGCTGATTGTTAGAAATGATTCAAAGGTTTTGAGGATTACTATCGCTTCTGCACTGAAAATGCCTAGATATGTGATGTATGAAATCTGCAGAATGAAAACGAAGTAACCTCAAGCATACAAGAAGTATACGCGGAAATGTCCGGTTACGGATATACGAACATTATCACCTAGGAGTGTTCCACTTATTTGATATTTCATATATTTCGTTTGCATTAATTACGTGCCACCTCTGGATTTTTTCACTCTTAAATTTCCCATAAATGCATAAAAATCCGCAGTTTAATAATAAATGTTTGTTTACAGTTTCCTTACCTCTGCCAAATAACCTCTCACGCTTTGATCGCTATAATTTCTCTTTTTAATCAAATGTCTCGCGTTTGTCATACATACTTCTGCGCATAAGATTAATACTAGTAACAAGTACAACACTGATCCTTCCTACAAGAGAATCAATTTATAATAATATCTTTATGTTAATATTTTTGACGTTTTATTATCACAATTTGAAATTAAAAATATGCATATAAAGAAATAAATGAGAAACGTGGAAGAATGGAATGACAAATATCGAAACGAGCAAATAGAGATGCAATAATATAACAAATTACACTTTCTCTCGATTAACTTTATCGTTTATTGTAGTCCTTACATTGTTGCGCATTTTTGCTAAAATCTTTCGTGCAACGTTTTATGCAATCACTTTTAAGATGTTGTATGAAAAATCTGGTAAAAATTGAACTACATATTTAATTTCTAATACTGTACGCTTCGCACGAGTACTTGAAATAACAGAGTACGTACAGGACGTGGCGCAGGCGTACGCTTATTCTTCCGCTCCTGATTTCGTAAATCGATCGTTGCAGAAATTTCAATTTTTATATTTACTTAGATAAAGTGTCTCCTTAATTTTGTAAAGTATTGCTTGAATCAACATAATTATTAAAACAAATACACAATATTGCTCAAAATTCGTCATTCGACAGAATTTTCTTGTAACAAACGTTACTTGGAATTTTCATACCACTTACCGTGATCACAGTCAAATAAATTATGTTTATTATCAGCAAAATATATTCGGATCCACTATTAGAGAAAAAGTAATCTTCTGATAATGTATTATATGTACCTACCTTACCGACCTCGGGGTGCCCCAGAAACCCGATGACCATCTCAACCGTCGAATACTCAGTTCGTAAGTACGAATAATCGATCCGATCCGAATACTCGAAAGAATCGAGTAGCTCGAATTGTCTCGATCGGTTTGAAATAGTTAAGTGACTCGAACGATCTGAATAGGTCGTACATCTTTCGTACATTACACGTAGTTTATACCATGCGTTAAGCGAATGCGATGGTCTAATTAATTTGTACAAAAGGTATACGACCTGTTCGGACCGTTCAAGTTATTCGATTCTTTCACGCTGCTCGGATCTTTCGAATACTTGGATCGAATCGATTATTCGAACCGACGAACTATGTATATCTCGGCTCGTTTTCTCTGAGTAATAGTAAGAGATCTGGCACTAAAACAGATAATTCGTATTGCGTACTGTTGTCTGAATTTCGTCTATGTTTATTGGTGATCTTCCTATTTTTTCATCTCTAGTATGAGTTACCAGACTTGACAGTAGATTCAATATCTTGTGTGTGGCTACTATTATCATATGAAAAAAGTTTTTGGTTAAAATAAATAATAATTTATTTTCAATGTATATTTTTTCTTTTTATACAATAAATATATATGCTATATATATATATATATATATATATATATATATATATAACAAATATTTATTAAAACTTCAAGCATAACAAAAATTAAAATATGTTATAGTTGTGACTACACACATAAATACATGTAGAATCTATACTCTTCTTGGTTCTAATAAAAATTAGCTGTGATATATTCATATTTTACAAAGTAAATTAAATAAATTAAAGTTATTCAATATATTACCGCTTATTATTATAATAGGTCAGATATTGAAAATCGATAACATACATAGTTGGCAATTATGAAAGATAACCTCACATATCATGTTTATGAAATTTTTATTCGATATTTTAAAATTTAGTTGAATATTTATATATTTTCCATAGTTCTAAAAATGAAGTCATCCCAATGGACATATATTATAAAAGCAATTAAATTATTTGAAAGTTATACTATTCAATTGATTTTAGTGTATCATTAAGTGAATTTAGTATTTCAGGATATAATGATGGAATTATCAAAAGACACCATTGATGGTCTTGCTAATATTCTAAACACAAATATTGTTACGGACGATAACTTTCTACAAATTTTAGGGATGGCTACTTCATATATATATGAAAATCCTTCAGAAATAAAATGTGAGTATTTGTTTTGGTGTAATTGCCAAATATAAATAAGATTAATTAACATAATTATTGAAACTAATAAAATTTCAGGCACTATCAAAACATCTGATGCGAAACCAATTTTAACAAAAAAAGTTTTTGCTGATGTGGTATGTTTACTTATAGAGGCTACCCGACATGATTTAGATGAAGAAAGCTTAAGAAGTTTTTTAAATCTTGTATATATTGGTGAAAAAAGAATTACGAAATTATGTGAAGTATACATTAATAATAAAAAGGCAATACAGTCTCAATTGGAATTGATAGGCAATAATCCACCTCACATTATTGATATAGACTGGCATTTAGATTACTGTGTCAAGGTAATTGATCGGTGAATAGAACACCGATCGTTTCATTCACAGATGCTTTATTTGCTCTTATTCATGAAAGTCATTTTCAGTTGGACACATGCAATTCACTAGGTGTTCCTCTTTATCATGTGCGACTTAGTACTAAAAAACATGAAACAATAGATCATGTAACATTTTCATGTACAATACAACAGTTGCAAGAACTGGTATTTAAGCTCAAAGATGCCATCAGATACTCAGAGAAGCTTACTAATGTTTAGCTGTATCTTTAAATTATTGATTTGCTGCATATAGTATGATCCATGTATATTTTCAAATTTCCTTGGAATTATTTTTGTTTTAGCTATTTCTATTACAATATGTGAGTTTCTATAAATTATAATTATCAGCAACTTATAACATTTATGTATATTAACATTTACACAACAATTATTATAGTAATCGTTTAATAATAAACTCAATATTTGTACGTATAAGTGTAATGGTAAAATCTTATACAAACAACAGACCGTGTAAAGTATAATCAACTATATTTTTATAATCAAAAGAACATCATCTACTTTACGTAGTATTATTACTGTATTGATAACGCGCGCGCTTCAGAGTATGCGCGCGGGCACACAAACATACGTAAAACATGTACATAAATTTCAAAACAAACGACGATCAACGTTTTGTTATAAATAAAACAAAATTTCGAAAACTTCGATATTGAAATTTAAAATTTCGATATTGAAATTTTTTTACACAAAATTATACACACACATTTTTCACTCGCTCACTCATTCAGGTACACCTTGTATACAAAAGAGTCGCGCGCGCACACAACTAATAACTTATTAAAAATACGTTGTTTTTGCTCTACAATCAGGCATCTCTCTAAAAATTGCTTCCTCGTATTAGACAAAAAATACTATCGTTACATCCTTAATACCTAAAAATATGCGTGTCAAATTATATTAATAATCGATAATTTTTTTTATATCTAATACGTGATATAGACTTCTTTGAATCATTATACACTATTTACAAGTAAATGTATCTAAAAGGAAAAAGAAAATCATCCAATATTAAAAATTTATCTATACATTAACTCTTTCTTTCTTTCCGGCACTTATCAAAATTAATAGTGGACTTCTTATCCATGCGTGCTATTTTAATAATTCGGTGCGATGCGACACATCGATAATATTAACTAATTAAGCTGGAAAGAGAGAAATCACTTATATAGCGTAATACTTTTTCTCATCTTCTTAAACCATTTAACAACGATTTTCTCTTGCTCTCGATTTCCTAACATTATTTCATATATAAGATTACTGTGATAAGGCCTCGGGCAATTTACTATAGTTGTTTCCTTTTTAAAAAGAGGGTATATGCGAAAAAAGAGCCAATCGAAAAAGTGTATCGTAGCTAAATCTACTTGGAACATTAGATTAATTCTCGAGGCTTTGGTTAGATATTTAGTTGACTAAGATATATTAAGAAACAAATAATAAAATTTGTTCAGAAATATGATAAATAATGTAAACTAACGGACTGCGTGAAATTATTTTATAAAAACTCCTCATATAAATATGATTAATTATACGCAGTATCGTTTTCTATATAATCTTTATACAGCCCTTATGTCGAACGTGACCTTGAATATATTTAGTCATTTCTTTCATTTTTTCTTTTTTGTTTAAACCAGAAAAGAGATAGAGAGAAAGAGAGGGAGAGACATGTGTTATGTATTTCTAATTATTACAACTTTTATGTAAGATAAAGATTTAAATATTAGTGATACATTAAACATATTATTGTTTCAATATGTTTAATGCTTTGCAGTTTAAAAATCGTAATAATTAAAATAACAACACGTATTCGTTTTGTATTAGCAGCGTGAAAAAATTTGTCAGGAATCTGAAATATGTTGAATTACGATTCGACAAAATATTTTGTATAAAATAAAATGTAGCAATATCCGAATATTTTTATACGTCAACGAACATACAACATGCATGAATTGCTTAATGCAAAATTTATGTCTTTGTTTTGTTGACTTGAATCTCAGAATTATTCTGCTGCTCCTCGGTTTTTTCACATTTCTCGTTTTTGGGTTCTTCTACTTTTTCTTTTTCAACAACTTTTTCTGAAACTTGTACTATCTCTGCTTCATTTTGCTCATTCTGTTCTGTAATTTTTTCTGTTATTGCTTCGTCCTTCTTTTCATTAGTGAGATCTCCATTAATTTGTGGAGGAGATTTTTCTTTTTTCGTATTTACACTGTCACTATCCTCATCAGATTGACTCTTTTCCAAATTTTGTCCTTTTGATAGATATAAATTTTGTTCTTTACATTTTATAGCTTCCTTTTCCAACCGTTCCTTATTTTGATCTTGATCGCCTGCATCCAATGGAGGCGTTTCTAACTTAGTTTTCGAATTAACGATCGATGTATTTTTATTCTGTCCAACACTTGAACTGGGAGAAAGCGAAGTTGATTTAGAATTTCGAACTGTCTCTGTCGGTATATTAACAACCTCCGTGTTGCAAAAATTTCCAGTCTTAGACAAATTAAATGCACTAACATCTTCCTGTGATGTATTTTCTGGAAGAAGCAGGTTATTAGTCTCAAGAGATGTTGCAATCGCTTGTGTTTCGGGTTTGACCAAGTTGTAAGATGCAGGAGAAATTGCTGTTAGAGAGGTAGTTTTAGGTGACTTAGGTGAAGAATAGGTGCTTGGTGGTATTCTCTGAACTGTTGGGGGTTGTGAAACTGGAGAAAAGCCAGTAGTTTGTGGAATATAACTAGATCGTTGATACAATTTATTAATTGAAGGGGGTAAATTACTATGGAAGGCACTGGGAGATGGAATTCCTATTGGTGAACGTATCAAAGGATTTGGAAATCTAGTAGCATCTGGAAATGGTCGTGGAAAGTGAGGATAGATTAGCCCAGGATTCATATTTGGTGTTGGAGAAGGTATAAAAGGACTCGTTGAAAGCATATTTACTGGAGAATTTTTTGGAGATATTGGCGAACCAGTACTTCTACAGATATCTCTTGAGAATGGAGGATTTGGGTAATTCCTTGCACTAGGAGAATATGGAGGTGGTGAAACGATAGGTGAATTAACTGTTGATACAATTGGAGATAAAGTTTTAGGATCTATCTTCATCATACTCAAGTTCCCATTTTTAGAACTGCTAGATGTGTTTGTAGTTGTTGTTGATGCCATTGTCGACTGTTCTTTTTCTTTACATTCATTACCAATACCGTACATTGGCTTCACTCCAGATGCCGGATTACCCAAATATCTTGGCATGTTTCTCATTTTAAAAATTTTAGCCGGTTTAGACTGAATTGTCTTACTTCTTTCGAAAAGCGTGGTTTGATGTAATTGGTTTTGTGTCTCTTTACTTTGATTTTTAACTGCTACATAATTGTTTTTAGAAAGTGTAGGATTCCAGCATCTCGGAGGATCACGAAGAGTCTTGTAACCTACTGCTTGACTTTGCTTTTTAGAGACAGAAAGAACCTTCTGTAAAGAGTGTGACGTAGCCATTGGAGAAGTAGTTATTAACGAAGTAGCCCTAAGACTGTCTTTAACATTTGAATAAATATGTTTGCTCTCTGTTGTGATTGCACTACTATTAGGTGCATAAACGGGCACATTTGGAATATTTGTATGTTGCTGCTGTTTACTACTAGAATCAATAGCGATTGATGGCGAACCATTCTTTCTCCCGATTTTTAATAAATCTGGGATATCGGATTTACTTCTTACTTCCGTTTTGTTCTTTTCTTTAGAATTTTCCCCAATTTTAGCACAAATATCGTTAATTTTTGAACCAGAGGCTCCAATTTTTGCACAAATTTCATTTAAATTAGAACCCTTCGTAATTAATTCATTTTTACGAATTGTTGGTTTCATCAAAGAGATTGGAATAGCATCGGGACAAGGAGGCACTGAATATGTATTAGTTATTTCCAAATTCGCTTTCAAAACGGACTCTTTTGAAGTACTTGGACTTAGATAACTACTTTTCAAAGAAGAAGAAACGTTCAAGGAAGGTATAGTAAATGCTGTAGAACTTTCTGGTACTGAAGATGTAGGTACTTCATTTTCAGAGACTGCAGTAGAGGATAATTTTTGCGTCATTGATGTACTCAAACTTTTGAGAGAATTTTTCGACATAGTATTATTTACCAAATCCTGGACCATATAGGGAAATGTAGATGTAGATTGACTTATTGTTGACGTAGAAATTGGATTGATTCCATTACCAACAGACATAGGTAGTGATGTAGAAAGATTTGATGATGCGAGATTATCATTTGATAACGATTCGATTTGAGTGTACGACTTTTGGGAAAGTGTATTTGCTTGTCCATTGGTTCTTTGACAAGATTCTGTTGAAATCTGCTCAGATACATATGGTTTTTTTTCTATAATACTTTCTCCTTGAGAAGAATATTCTTCCTTCTGATCAGTTGATTGCACATTTCTTACATTTATTTCCGTTTCTCTTGTTTCAGAATTAACTGAAGTACTTGGGTACGTTGATAAAACAGGTTCTGTGGCATCCAGTAATTCTGCTTTCTGTGATATGGCTTTTGTTGAACATGGAACTATTGATTTGGTTAGTGTAACCCCGCCATTATTTGTCATTACTTGTGTTTTTGAAGGATCAAAAGAATTTTTCAGCTCTGTAGATTTTAAGTTTTCAGTAATCTTTATGTCTACCTTTTTAGATGACTGTGGTGTGATTTTCCTATCTTTCGTAACCTTTTTCGAAGAAGCATTGTTACTGCTAATTTGTCCAGTTTTCGGTTGGAATTGTAATTTCACACTTAGAGCATTGATTTTCGATCCTGTATTTATAAATTTTACCTCATTTCTTGAATTTTGCTTAGAGTTTTCCAATTTATCCGCGATAATATTATTGTTATTTCTTGATGACTCCTTTTGATCTTTATTTTCAATGTTATTATTTCTAATTTCATGTTCACTCACATATTGTGCCATCCCTTGTGATTGAATACTTTTCTGTAAAATTGTTTTATCTTCAACATTGTTATTATCCGATCGATTTTTCGATTCCTCCTCATATTTAAGGTTTATCGTATTTTCTATTCCTTTCGTTTTCACAGTTTCTGTTTGATTGGAGCATTTTTGTTCACCAAATTCGTTTAATTTGGAAGAACTATCAGACTCGCTAACGTCTTGTTTGTCTGAAGACGGTTTGTTTCCTTCACTGACTTCAGGTATGTTATTTTTACTATCATTTTCTTCAACTATTGATGTATTTATTGTTTCAATGCTAGTAATAGATTCTTCAACTTTTGTATTTTTCTTAAATTGTTGGTCCGTTATATCTGTAATACTCATAATACCAGTTTCAGAAATCTTCAACTGTACTTCTTTCCATTCCCTCTTTAATGATTTTTCTTCTTTTGATTCAATGGAATCAATTCCAGCATGAAGTAAAGTTGTTTTATAATTGACATTATCTTCAGAAAGTTTTATTCGCTTTGGAGAAGATTCAAATATTCTGTAACTTAAATGCAATGGCACTTTCTGAAATAAATATGATAAAGTGTTTATAGAAAAAATTTCAATAGAATTAGAATTTCTAAATATTTTCAATAGACCGTTGATACTTACTCGTCTCCAATGATAAATATACATCACATCCATCAATGTATAACTACTACACAGTGGTTCCTCTTTATACATTACATCCACCCTATGTGCATCAGTTAAGCCATACTTAGCTCGTATAAGCTTTTGTAAATGAAAAATGGTCACTGCAGCAGGACAACGAAGATACCGCCTCAATAAAGGTTTTACAGCTATACCTTTGATGTCCTTGGATGGACTAAAGTATTCTAATGATAAACTAAGTGATTCATCTGGAGAATATATATGCGATTCAATTGGTTCCCCTCTTGCCTCTGGAGATGTTGCTTGAGTACATGCTTCAGGATGGTTTAGATAAAAGTCTCTTCTACATCGCATCTCATCTATAATATAAATATTTAAATGTATCTTCATTACATTATTCTTTTGTTAATAATAAAACTTACTTTGATAGCATCCTGGTACCAGTTTATACACAATGTCCTGCAAAGTGTGGTCTGGGCGAATGTTGAGTAGTGGTTTACTTTTGTGCACCTGCACCTCACATATTGGACAATACTTATTGTTCTCCAGATACTTGACAATACAGCTCCTGCAAACTGTAGTGCGACGTTAATCGCCGCTTACATCAATATGTTGGAATCGTCGCTTAACCCTTTTGCAATGATGAAACTGTATTTATTCACCACAGACAAAAGGATTAAAAAAGCGACAGAAGAATACACATACACGAATGCAAACACTCTATGATAGTAGTGGCATCAATGAAATATCCACCGCATAATTTGCACGTCAGCTGATCGTTGAGTTTGGACAACCTTAAGCGATGCCCTCCACTCTGACCTGACATCCTGCAGTAAGAAAACTGTATTAATCATATATATTTAACCCTCATAGTTAACAAAAATATCACACAAATTGCAATAACACAAAACGTTAATAATATTGAATGATATGAAATATTAATAAACAAGAACTAAAACGATTTTTTTCGACTAGTTTTAAACAATTTGCGCTATTATACCCAAGTAGAATCGTTAAAATATTAAACTTACGTGGTAAATGACGCGAAAACTGTTCGTTTTATCTAGTAATCGCCATTTGATTAAAGAAGTCAGGAAAGTTGGGTCAGAACTCGAGGTGAAATTTCACGAATTCTCATAATGAGAACATTTATTAAAAAACTGACTCAAATCCGTTAAAAACAAATCTCTTCGAAAACACAGAGCGTTCTCTGATTCTACGATTTTTCGAAATTTGAGTCAATCTAGTTCATTGTAAAATAGGCCACGGTACCAGGAAAAACTCTGAGGACGACAGCAAAACAAAATGGTGGATAAACAATCATGCCAATGACATTTCCAAAAACATGAGTTTCCTTTCAGGTGTAGTCCTTAACCATATTTTACAAGAAAAAAGTAAAGAAAAGAAGGTAATCACTAAAATTAATAAATTACAGCAAACATTGTATTTACTAAGAAATATATGAGTACTACGGGCTATTGTAACAAATTAACGGTATCATTTATCGATATGACTATTTGAGTACTTCATACAATTCAGAGATGGCATTACTAACACATAAATTTAAATTTATATATTATTTCATTGGAAATTAATATTTAATTCGAATTATATTCGATCTACAAATCAATTTAAAACTATTTAAATTGCATAAAAACATTTTATTATATATTGTATTTTCATTAAATAAATTAAATGTAAATGTAATACATTAAATGTAAATAAACTACAACCTGAACTTGTACAACATGTATCGTGTAAATATCATATATGTACATATTTTACATTTATTTCAAATAAAGAATTTGTCCATTTTTTATGCATCTCTTAGGTATTAGGAATAACAGTTTACATATTATAGTGAAATCATAAAATATTATGTTTAGATACAATATGGTATGTAAGTAAAGTATTAAATAGAACAGTTTCAATTTTGTTTTATTTTACAGTAATTAAATGCTTATATATACGTACATATATATATATATATGTATAAAGTGTTATTGTAAATACATATTAGATCATAATTTTTCATTTCATCTGCTTTTACTCTACAAATATTCATGTTTATAAAAATATATAGAGAATCGAATTTTAAACAATTCAGATAGTAAATTAGATTGGGATTCGTAATCTACTATTCTTGTAATTTATGATCAATATCCAGACATTTACACAACAGAGTAAATTCAGTTTTTATATCAAGAGAACACGTATAAAATATTAAATCTTTTTTTAAATAATGAAATTTAATGATTTTATTTAATTATATATAAATGCTTGACTTGTTGAATCTAGTTCATCCATATCCTTCAAAAAAGTTAAATAGTATTTGAAATGATTACTTTACAAGACATTAGTAAACAACTTTTGAAACCAGCAAAAGATCTTGCTGACTGGAAATTTCCATTATCTCAGGTATATTATACTATTAAAGTTATTATAATTCAATATAAATATAAAAATATTATGTTATTCTAGATTTTAGAAGAATATTATGCTTTATTAGAAGAACCGTGTAATATCAATTTCGGGGAAGCAGCGCTTATTCTACAAAATTCAACTAACATATACGTTAGAAGAATTGAACATCTAGTCAACGAAGCAGAAATATTGAGACAAACATTTTTCGGCTATGAGTAATTATTTATCTTACATTCAAGGAAAGATGTATGTATTGTAGCTAATAATTTCTTCATCTTTTTTTGTTAGGGAAAAAGGAATAAAGAAGTCTATGAATAAAGAAAAAAGATTTTTTAAGAAGAGCCATGTTAATTTGGGAAATTTTGTAATGATTGACTTAGAAAAAGATATCGGGAAACATATTGATAAAAAAAATCAATTTCAAACACAGAAGAAAGTTAAATTGTTAAGTCGTCGGTTTACACAATTAGAAAATGATGCCCTGCAATTATGCATTCCTATTCAAGTATATGATATTCTAGGAGAAATCATTGGAAAGAAATATGATTTTCGGTAAACAGCAATATCTTTGTTCTATTTTAATTTTTATGTGATAGCTTTAACTTTTTAATTTTAAGGTGCAATCAAGCCATAAATACAAGTGGAATGTTGGTGAATGAATTAACACCATATGATTTTGCTCATATATATAGATCTTATATTGAAGAGGGAAGAAATTCATTGTCGTTATATTCAGAACCAAAAACTCCAGGTACAGGAACCTCAGGATATCATTCAATTACTTCACCAAATGATAATGAGTCTATTACACTTGTTTATGATGAATTTGAAGATGAACAAAATTCTTCATTAAGGGAAAACGATTCATCAGTAAATGAATTACAAAGTATGGAGGAACAAAACACAATAAACAATAATCATGAAAGTTTATTTGTTAATAATAGCATTTTAAAACAAGCTAAAAAGGATGAATCAGAGAAAGAACATATCCAACAAAGTGCGGTGCAAAATGTTAGTATTCAAAATTGTTCAATTCAGCATTTCAAAAACATGAATCAAACTGAAGAAGAATGCCAAATTAGAGATTCAGTGCAAGTGAATCAAATAAAAAGGAATGATCAGAATAACGATGAAAATATAGTACAACTCAGTGCAGGTGATCAAATAAAATATGATAAGCAAATAAATCATTTCTCCAAAGAGAGTCAAATTTTTCAACTGAATGAATCAGATAATGTACGATGGAAAAATGGATTACCTAGCATGCGGAAAAGAGGGTATCTCTTCGAAAATTATTCTATTAATTTTACAATTGATGATATTAAATCAATGAAAACATTAATATTTTTATTAGGAATCAAACAACAAAAGTATCAATATGTTCTGTAGATGATATAAATGAATATGACTGGGAACCAATGCCTCTTATTCAAGGAATAAAGCATGTTTTTTCTAGCAATTCATCTATCCTGAAACTTCCAGACTACATTTCACTTTTGGAAACAAAATTTGGTTCTGTATGTAGAAATAATAAGTTTTCATGTTTTGTACCTTGTACCAGTTAGAGCTTTTAATAATCTTTTAGATATTTGTATGTCTACGCATTTATTTATTTATTTTCTCTTGTTTGTTTATTAGAAAAAACGTAAATTTACATCAAAACTGTATAAACCAGAATGTTTAGCAAAACTCATTTTACGTGAAACTGAATTATTTGCAAAGAAAGACACTACTTTATGTACAAAACAGAAGTTTAAACATTTGCAGAAAGGTAAGTTAATTCGAAGCAAATCGTGTTTTATATTATTACTGTTGTTATTGTTGTTGTTGTTGTTGTTGTTGTTGTTGTAGTAACTGCAAAATATAATTTTTTTGATAGAGGAAATAGAAGACTTCATGAAGAATTTTGACGAATGTTTAAATGGTATAGAAAAAGAAAATGATGATTCTCAATATGAAGCTGTGACAAACGTTGCTATAGATTTTCATGTATCCCAAAATCAAAATGATTCAACTGAGAATAGTATTGAGGATATAACAAGTAGAAGTTATCGAAATGATTCAATTGAAAACAGTATTGAGGATATAACGAGTAGAAGTTCTTCACCTACTGACATTCCATTACGATCAACAATTTGTCAAAATACAGTGGATATGCTTGCAGAATCTCCTAACTCGTCTAACAATTGGCGTGAATCTTTAACTTCAGAAATTAATTTGTCTTATTCTCTGCCGAATTATCAAATATTAATTGAGGACAAAATGAAAAAGATTTTTGAACAGTCGAATGTTATTACAGAGTTAGATCAGACTGTAGCAAAGTGGCATGCCTCGTTGCAATCAAAATTAGCGGAGGCTGAAATGAGACCTGCATTTCGAATTCGTGATTATTCATCTCGTATAATAAAAGTGTTGCAAACGTCAGAACAGAAAAAAATTAATTTCGATAGTGTCGTTCAAGACAAGCCCGCTCGTGAAGTAGCTAGATACTTCTTAGCTTCGTTACAATTGGTATATTTATTTTCATTATAACTTATTTACATCTCGAGTTAGTATAGATTGTGATAACCGCTTTGTCTTTGCAGGCAAATACGTACAATGTGGAAATAAAGGCGGGGAGTAGTGATAACGATATAGAAATAACGTTGCTTAATGACAGAAAAAATTATGTAAAGAATTAAAGCAGTAACATTGATACTACAGTAAAGACTCTCCAAGAGCTCAGGAGTTGGTTTTGCTAAGCGATTGGTAAACCATAGACATTATTCTCTAAGTTAGTACGTACTATGTCGGCAGTTGTTTGTCTGGCGGACGCAAAGAGAAACAGCGGGTGAAGAAGAAAGATCCACGGGCCAAATTAACGTAATTAAGCTTTTCAGTATTTTTAGTTTCGTTTTAATAAAAAAACTAATATAGTGAAATGAAATCCTTATTGAGAAAAAGCTGAAAATAAACAGATTTCGTCATTGTATTGATATTGTCTCGCCGATACGAAGACGATACGAATCTTAAAAGGAAAGTCATTGGCGTATCATACTACTGAGGATAAAACATAAGCACGATTGAAGTGATGATGTTTATTGTATTATGTTCTTGTACATACATGCATACATACAAGGATGGGAGTTTGTGTACAATTTTGTATTTATGCACTATACATACAAGTATGGATACGGAGGAAGTAAATTAAAATTATTTTTTTCTATATGGATACTAATATCATAAAATTCCTCAAAAATATACCACATTTTTAATAAAATAATACACGTTTATTGCTCATATCAATTTAGGATTAAATCACTTTAAATTTACCGCCATACATAATATAAAACTGAAACTTATTTTTCTACTTGTACCCTTAATAAAAGATAATCGCGCATGCGTTATCGCCGAAATATCATTGCTTGCCGGCTGTGGTGGTAAGTATTCAGGTGCGTTAGTTTACGCTGAAGTCGTTTAAAGATGAGTTCTATTTTTTTTACATAATCATTTTTGTTACAATGACTAATTACAATTATTGATATAAAATACATTTTTCGTTACATATTTATGAAGTACTTAAAAAATTGTCTATGTTTAGCATTTTGCCAAAATGTTATTTATATATATATATATATCAATGTATATATATAAATCAATTAGACTCTTTGAAATGTCATTTTATTAGCTTGAAGCTCTTGAATGAATAAAAGTTGTATCTAAGAGAAATTGGATACTCTATTAAATTACTTGATAGTAACAATTCAGCCAATTCAAATCTGTTTGCTCTCCCCTTCTTTCTAATTTGTTTGATATATTAGGGATACAAGTCTCTTTAGGAGCGTGTGATTTTTATAAAGTTTTCTTTGGTAAGTTAAATGTAATACCTTTTTGGTTACAAAAGCGATAAATAAATAATTTTTAAGGATTTGACATACATGTAATCATGGAAAAGAAAGCTTCTATGAAATCTACTCGATGGATACTACAACCATGGAGCCTTTTGTTTCTTATTCTAATTCAATTCTTGGTACAATTTTTAACATCTATCTATCTTTATACTTATGTGGCCCATGTGGAAACAAATGTTCTTATTATGCGAAACCAAGACTTTTTAGAAACTGAAAAATTGGTAAGGAGGAAACGAAGTAGTGCTTTACCTGTGACAGAAGATAATAAAGTTTCAGATACATCCAGAGTATGTATTATCAATATGTAGCATAAGGCACTTGGAATCAAAGGGGCACAAGTGATATTTTTCAAATTTTTTAATTAGAAGCAGAAATGGCTAATTAGATCATTAAATACAATATATATATATATATATATATATATAATTTAAGTAATCCATCATTATATAAAAGTATCATTTAAAGGCTAGAAAAATTGACTTCTAAGCAAATAATATTGAAATAACATGCAAGTGTAAATACATTAGTTTCTGTATATTCAATAACTCATAAACTAAAACATAAAATTCATTAAAAATATGTGTATATACTCCTTGCTATGTCAAGCATTAAATATAACTTAACTTTCATAGAGACTTTACAGTGCAATCCTTTTTAACACATTTGAATTTCAAACTTGGTTACCTTAATATCGGAAAAAAGTCACTTGCATCTTTTTGGTTCTAGTTGCCTCATATAAAAATTGTACCTTATATTTATATTTTTTACATTTTAGATTTGGCAAGAGAAGGATACATTAAAAGAATCTAAGAAAGTAACTTCATCTCCCATAGCAAAAACAGGTTTGGCATCTTCTCCAATTACTCCTATGGGACATGATTGGGTATGGTTAAATGCAGATACTCGTGTGCAGGTTAAATATTTAACTTTTCTTAATAATCAAAGCTAATAGAAATGTGTTAAATTTTATTCATAGATATTGCACATTTTAGCTCGATGCGATTGAAAATTTTTGTCGATCGTCAATGAAATATTGTCCTCCGGGATTACCAGGAGCACCAGGAAGTCCAGGAGCTCCCGGGGAACCAGGTCTTCCCGGATTACGAGGAATGACTGGTCCGAAAGGACCACCTGGTTTGACTGGCCCTCCTGGTCCTCGTGGACCAAAAGGTGATATAGGACCAGCTGGTTTTGATGGAAGGGATGGAATACCGGGAGAACCTGGACTTGATGGAATTCCTGGACGTAGTGGTACAGATGGATTATCTGGTATGAATGGTAAACCAGGACTAAATGGGTCTCCTGGTCGGCCTGGACGTAATGGAACAGATGGTATGCACCTTTTGATTTAGAAACCTTTTGTATTCATTAATTTAATTTCTAAAGATACAATATCTTTAGGAAGGCCAGGTCAAATGGGACCTCAAGGACCAATTGGACCACGTGGTAACTTAACATTATTTCAAATTCGCTCATTCTAATTGCACGTGGATGAAAAAGAGATACGTTGATGATGTGAACAACTTTAGGAGAAATGGGTCCTCCTGGTAGACCAGGCTCACCAGGACAAGATGGCAGACCAGGGATAACAGCCTGGAAGGTGAACATGAATGATTATAATATAAACGACTTATTGATTCCTCCTTCTATTCTAGGCAAGTACCTTCTTTATCTTTAAATAACTATACTTTGAAAATTTGCGAGCTCAAACGATGTAGTTTTTGTAAAATCTTTCAGATGATCGAATGTTACCTTCAACAGTAAATTCGACGGGCTTAATTTCCGTTTATGAAGGAACTAATTTACGATTAAAATGTGCAGCAAGTGGCAAACCTGAACCTACTGTTCAATGGTTTAGAAGCGATGGTGGTGTCATTCCTATAGGATCTTGGCATGGTAATATAAAATTATAATCGTGTCAGTAACGTGATTATGAACTTTCACAAAAGTATATAATTATATAAGTATACAATTTTATTGAACAGTGACTTCTGTAATTGGACATACATTTAATATCAGTATAGTTAACAGAGAACATATGGGAGAATATATTTGTGTAGCTGATAATGGAATTCCACCTCGAGCATTGAAAAGAATCAAACTTCAAGTTAAATGTAAATATTTTGATATACACGTCTATATATACATATATATTTTATTTATTTCTTTTATTAAGAAAGTATTTTTTTTTGCAGTTCCACCTTTCATTCGAATTCGTAATCAAATGATTCGCGCACGCAGTCAAAGTACTGTAGTTTTAGAATGTGAAGTTGAAGCATTTCCAGAACCAATTGTTTATTGGGAACGTGAAGATCGTAGACTCAAAATGTCTGAGAAATATAGACTTGAAGTTTATGACAGAAGAGATATGTATAAGGTAAAAGATAATAGCATCCTATCCAATGTGTTCATATACTTCTGTGTAATGTGTGAAATGTGTATATTTCCATATACTTCTATCTTAATGTAATATTTTAGCTTAAAATGCGTCTGAAGATTGCAAAGATAACATCAGCAGATTATGGTACATATCATTGTGTTGTGAAAAATGATATTGACACCACTAAAGGATCATTTACAGTCGATGGTAACGTATATTTTTAACTTTAATATTTTTTAGATAATTACATGAATAATTGACATTGAAATATTTTGTAGATGATGCGAAGAGCATGGAAAAGTCAAAGCTAGGAAAACAACAACACGTTACATATGGAAAGCCTGCGCCACAGCATGTTGATTTAGATGAACTTTGTGCACCACATGAAACTTGCGCTGCTTGCCCTGTTTTAAGATGTACTTTTACAGATGTTGCTGAATATTTAAATATTCAGCCACTCAAAAATGTCAACTTTACTGGACTTCCATTGAGATTGGCAGGTGAAGTTCATTTATTATTTCTTCTCAAAATAAATGTATAAGTATAGGTTGTACATAATTAAATAAATTAACGAGGTATTAATTTTATTTAATTCTGTAGATGGTGTAATAGAAGCAGTAGGAAAACCAGTTTTAAAGGGTACTATGGATGATCATTACGGAAGCTGGATGCATGACACTAAATCTGATGGTTATCCAGAGAAACTCTGGGTTACCCGAAAGAATGAAACTTCTTTCATATTTGAATATGAGTCAAAGGATCATTTTAAACATGGGAGTTCTTATCCCATTAAACTGCCATATCCATTTCAGGTATACCATACTATTTTTAAAATTATGTATTATTATCTCATGTTAAATTTATTTTTAGGGAAATGGGCATGTAGTGTATAACAAATCTTTCTTTTATAACCCCATAAACCGATCATCAATTTTTCGATTTAATCTTCATTCTATTTCTGATCAAGTATGTGGTAAGGAGTTTTCGCGGTGTGAATTACATCTTCCAGGTTTATTAGTGAACACGAGGAATTATTTATATACACCGAATCATAATTTTAATTATGTTGACTTCAATGTTGATGAGAATGGTAATTATATCGTAATTCGCTTGAAAGAAGTATTTCTCCTTAAATAAAAATAGTGAATAAGACGTACATTATTTTAACAACAGGATTATGGATAATATACGGTTTACCATCGAATAATACAATAGTAATAAAGATGGATGCGACTAATATGAATATTCAACATGCATGGAATATTAGTATAGATAATCATAAATTTGGAGAAATGTTCATTGCTGGAGGAGTGCTTTACGCTGTTCATAGCGTTACGGAAGAAACGATGAAAATAAGGTAAAATTTAGAAAAAAAAGGGAAAGAATAAAGAAGTGTTATAAGCTTAAAAAAGAAAAGTATATTTTATAATATATTTTATTTTATAATTACGTATCGATATGTTACTTATAGGTTGGCCTTTGATCTTTATAAAAATGTTACAATACCTGTTCATTTATCATTCACGAATCCTTATCACAAAACTACGGCAGTCAGCTACAACCATAAAACAAAAGTAAATATTTTGAAGTTTAAGAAATAAAACAAATTAAATAAGGATTTTAAAGCTTATTGTGATGTCTTCTTTATTTCTAGGAACTTTATACTTGGAATAAAGGAAATCAATTGGCCTACCCGATTAAATATCAGGGCTCTACAAATGCTACAGCAAAAGAAGAATTCAGGGTTAAGGAAACTGGAGTTTGAGGCTGCCATCAATGTGAAATTGAGAAATTGGTGAAACATATATATTTTATCCTTCAACTTTTTATTAATGTATTAACAAAAGAAGACAATAAGAGAAATAAAGCTTTTCTCTCCATTTAATCTTGTGCTTGAAAACCCATTTTTGTTAACTCAAGAATTTTAGATTTGCATGATTCAGTTTACTTCGCTATAATAATTGTAAGTTACCGAGTATAAACCATGTTCAGTAAATATTATACTCTAACATTACAGCTGGCTAATAAAGAGATCGAATGGTACACTAATATCTCGAGTTGATTATCTTCTTCAGTTTTAAAAATTTGTATCTGCAATAATAAAATTTTTGTTTTAAATTTTAATTATAAATTTATAAGGATTGTTATAAAAGTAATCTAAGAGAATTGCAAGTTTACGAAATTCAATTTCAAAATTAACCGTATTAAATCATAGATTATCGTAAGGTATAAATTATTGTATTTAATCGTTTAATTATTTTCTTTAAATTGACGATAAATTTAAAAAATTTTAATTTTTTTAGTGTTTTTAGTAGACGTAAATTCTTTCATCATCAAAACTACTTTATTTGAAGTTTATCTTTTAAACTCTAAACAAATTTTGAAACGTGGTAAGTAAAATCATTTGTTCAATATAGTTCGGTAAGATGGCGCATGATGACATATTTAATCAAATAAAGAGTAAGAAAGTAGACTAAGTGAGTAAGAGAAACAGAAAATGCTTTGACAAGTCTTTACTTTTAGTCCGATACTCGTAGTTTCTCCTTGATTAAGAAGAAATATTCGCAATTTTAAGGCTAAATTTGATCTGCAAGAAAATAAATGACATGATTCGATGTTAAAACAATAAAAAGGAGAAAGGATACTCATGAATGGAAAGCTGAGAAGCATTCTACCTGAAAAAATGGTAAGTATGATTGAACAACTCGACAATTTGATCTGTCGAGAATATGGTGTCAATTCTAACCTTGCAAAGGTTGAATATGGTAGAAACTGTCTTATAGTAAACTTCACGTAAAATTTATGAATCTTCAATGATTTATTTAAACATCTGTTCGTTTCAACCTTTTTTCAGACCTTTTTCCTGCACATTACATGGATGTCGATAACCTCACCTTCAACTTGTTTGAAGTAATCAAATTTTCTCATTTATATTTCTCTCTCTGTTTGCTTCTTTTTTTCTAATTTACATATTTGGAAGACAGAAATTGGTCCATCAAAGTCAATTGTAAAAGTATCATAATGACGTGCCGATGAACGGTCTTCATTCGAAATTTTTTGTAATTTAATGTATATTGATCACTTCAATATTTCCTGTTATCTTATAGTACCGCAAATAGTTTATTCAATTCAATTATCCAAATAAATTTTAAATATATCTGTTATCTGATCTGTCAGTAATTATTTATGAGTAATTAATACGTTATACATGTACCTTATATTATATTTGCCTTGCAGACAAATTAAATATAATTTTTAATGAATATTAAATAAATTTTCTGTATATATAAACAAAGAAAATTTATATAAACTTTTTTATCATTATCAATAAGTTAGAAAAGATTAATCTAACAAAGTATGTAAATCTATACATATTATACTAATTAATGTATCATACGTATACAATTTTATTTATATCATCTTTTTGTTACTTTTAAATTATTATTTTCTTCTAGATATTTTTATTCAATTATTTATAATATTTTGAGAAAATATTTTCAATATTCTGATAAGTATATTTTGCATTTACATAATATTTAATATTGCTACATTTTTTTCGATTTTGGAGAAGACAATGCTGTTTATTTATAAATATTATGCTGCACATGCAGATCAAAATTATGCTTAATACGAAGACTATCATAAGCCTATCTCATAAGATAAAATATTTTTATATATAACAGTGATAAAATTAAATTAGATTTTCGTTATACAAGGTTTATGTTTAATATTATCCAAAAACTAAGAATCAATCATATAGTATAGTCATAAGTATTGTCATATATTATTACGTAATATATATCAACAGAAATTATTTTAATTTTTAAGATAAACATTTTATGTATTATTCATCAATATAATCCTACACAATGTACCTACAACATGAGTGTAAGATAATCTCCTATGAGATGATATTACTAACGTACTTAGTAATGTAGTCAGAAACAATGATACTGTGTTGAGAGGAGTTATTATACAATTATATTATAAAATAATCCATTTAAGTTAGTGCATTGTTTAACTGTTAATACCAATTTTATTAATATATTTGTTAACGAGAATTGAAGAGATAGTATTTTTTATGTATTTATTTTATGTGAAAATATTTAGTTGTTATTAACTTATTCCTTATTTTCAAACATATTATATACATGTACATAAATAAATTATGTATATATATTCAAGTTTCTTTTACAGGTTGCAATGCCATGGAGAAATTTCCACTGAAAGGTACAACATTATCGAACAATACAATTCCACAAAATCATCAGCATACATTAACTACATACCAGTCAGTTGATACAAAGGTAAAAATTAATATATGAAGAAATTTGATAAGAGAATAATAAAAAAAGGAATAATAATAGTAACAAAAATTTAAAGAGTGAAAACTTTGATTAATTACAGATAGAAAATTCAGATGATGTATACTTCGTAGAGGATGTCCGATCGCGAAATCGAAATACTGCACGTGACAGTACTATAAGTAGCGACGACGACATGCTGGAAGTTAATAATGTAAATTCCCATCATGGACAGAACACCGTTCTTTCGGAACACTGTATCCGTATCGACGATGCTTCCTCTCACAGTATGTAATAAATTATGTAATTTTTTAATATTATAATTTACACTCAATTTGTAAAAATGTAGAACACAGTTTCATTCTGTATTGCTCAATTGTATTTCAGTTTCAGTTGATTCCGATGACATTCCTGGTATCGGACAATATGATGACTTTCACACGATTGATTGGCAACGAGATATCGCTCGAGATAGAATGCGTCATCGATATATTGTGAAAAAGAAACATGATTCTATTTGGGGCTTAATCAAGGGAGCTCATGATGCTTGGTCTGGATGGCTCTGTGTTTTGCTAGTTGGTCTCTTTACAGGAGTCGCAGCAGGTATTATAGATATAGGGGCTTCTTGGATGACTGATTTAAAATTTGGCATATGCCCACAAGCATTTTGGTTAAATAAAGAACAATGTTGTTGGAGTTATAATGAAACAACTTTTGACGGTGGTAACTGCTCTCAGGTATGTGCTTTATTATTATCTTTTCTTTTATAATAATGTTTAAGTTTGTATGTCATAATCTTCTTTCAGTGGTGGACATGGCCAGAAGTATTTAGTCAGTCAAAAGATGGTGCAGGACCATACATGATCTCGTATATGTTTTACATCGCTTGGGCTCTTTTGTTTGCTTCACTTTCCGCCTCATTAGTAAGAATGTTTGCACCATACGCTTGTGGTTCAGGAATTCCTGAGGTAAATATATAAAAAACGAAAATAAAAACTATAATGATCTTTTAATTATACTGAAAAATCATGTTTTAGATAAAGACCATCCTAAGTGGATTTATTATTCGTGGATATTTAGGAAAGTGGACATTAATAATTAAATCAGTAGGTTTGATTCTATCGGTCTCAGCAGGTTTAAATTTAGGCAAAGAAGGGCCGATGGTTCACATAGCTTGTTGCATAGGAAATATATTTTCTTATCTTTTTCCAAAATATGGCAGAAATGAAGCAAAGAAAAGAGAAATTTTATCAGCAGCTGCTGCTGCAGGAGTTTCAGTTGCTTTTGGTGCTCCAATTGGGGGTGTTCTTTTTAGTCTTGAAGAGGTATGTATCAGGAGAATGATAGTTTGATATATCTAATGGTTGAATATATTTAACAAAATTTTCAGGTGAGCTATTACTTTCCACTAAAAACTTTATGGAGATCATTTTTCTGTGCCTTGATAGCTGCTTTTATTTTACGATCTATAAATCCATTTGGCAACGAGCACTCTGTGCTTTTTTATGTTGAATATAATAAGCCTTGGATATTTTTTGAGCTAATACCCTTCGTCATGCTTGGAATAATTGGTGTAAGTTTATCTTTCTGTAAATTTTCTTCCATAGTTTTCTAAAGATTGTTAAATTACCCTTTTCCCTTTCTCTTTCTTTCAATAGGGCGTGATTGCTACTTTGTTTATTAAAGCAAATCTGTTTTGGTGTCGTTATCGTAAAACTTCAAAATTGGGCCAGTATCCAGTTACCGAAGTTCTAATTGTAACAGTTGCAACTGCTGTTATTGGATATCCAAATCCATATACACGAATGAGTACAAGTCAACTCATTTATTTGTTATTTAGACAATGTGGAGTATCAAATGCAGACATTTTATGGTAGAAATTCCCTCTCTTATTTTTTAAAATTAACATTAGTTTTAAAATATAGTAAATTTCTCTTTTTGTTTATATAGTGATTATAATAGAAACTTTACTGCTGTAAAATCAGCGATTGAAGTTGCAGCAGCTGGCCCCGGAGTTTATAAGGCGATATGGCTTCTCGTCTTAGCATTAATTCTAAAACTTGTTATGACAATATTTACGTTCGGTATGAAAGTACCTTGCGGATTATTTATTCCATCACTTTGTTTGGGAGCGATAATGGGCCGTATTGTGGGGATTGGAATGGAGCAACTAGCGTATAATTATCCACATATTTGGATATTTAGTGAAGCATGTTCAACTGGTGTCGATTGTATAACTCCTGGACTATACGCAATGGTTGGTGCCGCAGCAGTTCTCGGCGGTGTTACTAGAATGACTGTTTCTCTCGTCGTAATAATGTTTGAGTTAACTGGAGGTGTACGATATATTGTACCGTTAATGGCAGCCGCTATGGCAAGTAAATGGGTCGGCGATGCTCTTGGGAAACAGGGCATTTATGATGCTCACATTGGTTTGAACGGTTATCCATTCCTTGATAGCAAAGATGAATTTCAACATACTACTCTTGCGGCTGATGTCATGCAACCTAAGTAATTGCACCATTATCGTTAAAATATTATATTCTTGTAAAATATCTTTGATTTGATTTTTACGTTTTCTCTTCATAGTTAACAAGCCTAACGATATTTTCAGACGAAATGAAGCCCTTCATGTGCTCACTCAAGATTCAATGACAGTCGAAGACGTTGAAAATTTATTGAAAGAAACGGAACATAATGGTTTCCCAGTGATAGTTTCAAAAGAATCTCAATATCTTGTTGGCTTCGTGTTACGAAGAGATTTGAATCTTGCAATCGCAAATGCCAAACGTATGACAGAGGAAATTACTGGACAATCATTGGTTATATTTACAAATGGAAACAACATTCAAACTCATTCTCCTCCACCACTTAAATTGAAAAAGATCCTTGATATGGCTCCAATAACAATTACCGACCAAACACCCATGGAGACTGTTGTTGATATGTTTAGAAAGTTGGGATTAAGACAAACCCTTGTTACGCATAATGGGTAATTACTTTCTATTACTTTATGTATTACTTGTTTTGTGTACGATACAAGATTATATTAACTTTTCATGGCTACGTTCAACTTTGCAGCCGACTACTCGGAGTTATTACAAAGAAGGATGTATTGAGACACGTGAAGCAACTTGACAACGAAGATCCTAATTCTGTATTGTTCAATTAAAATTTATATAAAAAATATATATATGAGAGATACAGTGTTTTATAATGCATGGTATCAACCGAGCAATTGGGTACACTATACCAACAGTATGGTTTTTGATATTTTCATATAATCGTTAACAAGAAATTTGTTTTAATTATTAGTGATTCCAAGTGAGGATATAATAATAATAAATAGGTAAAACAGTTTTAACTCTCTGCACTATCCGAGTTTTTATATATTTCATTAAGGCAAATCTCAATTTATTTACTATATGTTTAAAAACTTAAAGTTTGGGAAACTAGTAGAAGGAAAGTAATATTAACAGTGCTTAATATGTTTTACAATTCTTTATATTTTCAGTTTTCATGTTGATCGAATGTGTAAAGGTGTTATATTGTATTTGATCATACAATTTTATAATGTAGCATGAAATACGTTATATATATATCACATTTAAAAACGTTATATTTCTTGAATCTATAACTTTGAATTTTTATAGTGGGAACAGCGAACCAAATAATAACACGTTTAACCGTGTTACATATCTAGGTAGAGTGTCACGTAACGCAACAAATTTTATTGCTTGCTATTTACAAAACTAATCGGATTTAAATATTAAGAATAATATGAATTTTATTTTTTGAACATCCATTATGCATACGTATATACATATATGATTGAGATTAATGTAATTTTTCTTGCTTTTGCTTGATATATTTTAGATTAAAATATTCCAAGAACTAATAGAATTTCTATAAACGATGATCGAAAGAAAATAGATTATTCCATCTAGAGTAATTTTAGTCCATGTCCAATCCAACATATTCTTGCTGATTTAAAGGACAAATTATGAAACTTTAAGGAATACGAAATCTTTTCTTACACATGAAAAAATTAAATTTATGATCATGTCGATTTTCAATATACATATGTATATATGCAAATATAGTACGACATGTACGCAATATATATAGACGAATGAACTTTATGAATATTGAGGTTACATAAACGTAATATATATGAGTCTTAATATATATGAATGTTAAAATATAAATGTAAAAATAAGTATTATTTAAATATTATTTACAGCAAAATCTCATAAACAAATATTAATAATAAATCGTTATTTTTATTTCAGTTAATTTCCTGTTCTTCTTTTAATGGTTGATCTTTATAGGGGAGATATAAATAGATGTCCAAAGGACGAGAAAGAATATAATTATCAATAAACGAAATACCAAAGACAAAATTATTCATTCACGAATACGAAGTATCAATTAACGATTTTTAGACATTTCTCGACAAACATATAAGAATTTTAAGAATTAAGTATTGTATTATACATTGTGCTTAATGAAAATTGATACCAATCAAATACTTCATCTAGCAAAAGCAACGCTAGAGGACAAATCAATAAGTATTTGAAAGATAGTTTGTAGTTATAGCTATATAGCCTGAGGAACTAGGACGTTTTATTCGAAATTTAAAGTCGATCAAAGAGAAAATCGTAGATGAATACCGCATGTGTCAGAGAGGAATGGAAGATTCGCGAGAACAATTTTCGGAATAGCAAGAAAACGTTGGAATGGGAAAGTACGATATGGTATTTTAAAGGATTCGAGACAAAGAAATAAAGTAGGAAAAGAGGTAATGATGTTCTTAACTCTCTCGTCAAAGCGAATTTCAGGATTTTATATACAGCACGGTACATATGCACAAAAGAACGAGGCTTTTTCTGCGAAACACTAAACAATCATCGGCGTGTTTTATCGTTAAAGTCGTTTGTGTTTGATTTTCGGGTGGAGAAAAAGAAAAAGAAGAAGAAGAAGATAATATTGGTTGAGAGAAAAAGGAATAATAATGTTTGTTGACCACAGTATCACCTGCAGGGGTCAGTTGTAGCTAGAGTGGGGGATAGCGAAGAGCATTCGTGCAGGCTGGTGGTTCGCTAGTTTCGCGGTAGCGATAACCCCCGATGCGCGTGTGCATGCATGTATTTCGATGTGTTAGGTTTAGATAGATTCGCTTATACAGGGAAAGAGAGACCTCAAAGCCGTTTTCCTCGGTCGTTCAATACGCGCGCGCGCGAAACGAATCGACTTCGTCCCATAGTATCGTCACAGTTCTCGTCGGAGACGTTCGTGATTTTGCACCCTTGTTCAAGTCACAATTTACCGAACTATATGACGAGGGTACACCACGGTTTCCTTTCTTATTTTCCTTCATCTCTATTTCTATCTTCGCCTTTCTTTCCCTCCAGTTCTCTTTCTCTTACTAAATCCTTCGTTTTCTTCGCTGCCTCCTTTCTCTTTACGTTCATTTCTCTCGTTATATTTAAATACGCGTTAATTTCTATCCTAATCCCATTCCATCCCATCGTTTCGATTTTAACGCATAATATCGCGTTCCCCTCGGCTCGTTACTCGCAAATTTATGTGCCTGATTCTTTCTTCCTCCTCATCCAATTGGTCGACACGTCGTTATCATCTCATTTAAACCCAATTTGGAACGCTATTCAGAGCCCAAGCTTTGAATCTCCTTGGATAAAGCAAATGGTAAATATGATTCGCGAGTGTCATACGTTACTGGAGTGACCAGTAATCAACAGACTGGTTTTTACGTCATTCCTTGTTGTTGTTGTTCTATCTTGTTATTCGGCATTGTTTTCTATTCGCGATGCGATCAACGACGGGATCGTGTGTGAACGATATCCAGGTGACGACGTCGCAGGCCAGGCCGGATTAGGGGTACATCGATCATCAAGATATCAAGGAAAAATCACGCAACGTCTCTTTCGAGTATACTCTAATACTTCCCTCCTCCTTCCTTGTTTTTCCTTGCTGTCCCTCGTCTCCCGGTTTCCAATCATCTGACCGACTCTTCGTCCTTCCTCCCTTTCTTTTCATTATATCTGTTTTTCTTGCTTTCGTTCTGCTTCTTGACTTTTTTACCGCTTGGTGGTGAAACGCGCCGCAGTGGCACGATCGTCATCGACGAAAAAAGAAGAATCTATATACTGTACCGCGACACACATACGAGTTCGCGCTCAGTCAATAGCAGCTGCATCCTTTGAAATTTCAAAAGAAGCACAAACACAAGAGCATATCCACAAGTGCGAAACGAACGCATCGTGATCGAATACCAGACACGGCCGGCGATCAAACTAGCGGGGAAGAAACTGCTGCCTTCCAGCCTGCCGTAATACGGTGGTGCTACGACGATATCGAGAAGCAGGCCCAGTCGGCGGTCAAACAGTATTATGCGTTTTCTACGCTTTTGTTTATTATCAAGGGAAGAGATTCTTATGGATGAACGTGCACGAGCTGTCGAGTCGCGAAGGTGAAAAAGAATAGAAGGGAAACGCGATAAGCTGTACGTAGGAACCGCAACGATGAAAGGTACACATTTCGGTGAGCCGAGGAACCAAAGATTCCAATGATACCTTCGCAAGGTGGCCGTGAGGGATACAAAGGTTCTGCCAACCCTCCGAGCAACGGCTCTGAGGACAATGGCTTCGCTAATCGACCCCGAGTGGCGGGCCTTTACGCGACGAATCTCTTCAGAGAAGAGCTCGTTCGATTCTCGTCAGGAGAGGCTCCTCGATCTCATGGTCTCACACGAGATACTCTCGAAAGATCGCCACGAGAGATTGGAAGCCAAAGAAGTTTAAATCTCCCTACGGGCATAGCCGAGGAATTCGAGCTTTTGGATCGGTCAAGAGTCGGGATTTCGAGAACACCCCAGCCATTAAGGAGAGGAGAGACGGACGCTGCTGGTTACGAACCTAGATCCAGATTCGATGAATCCGCCACCAGACGAAGGGATCATTATGGATCGCCACCTGTCGAAAGGATTCGCGAGAGGGAGGACGAGCAACAGGGAGAATGCATTGCTCGATCCGCATGCAGTACCCTTCGTGTGTCTCTCCTTGAGTTTCCGCGCTCCGAGCAGACGACGTGGATGGAGTCGGACGTTGATGATTCTAAGATACCTGTTTCAACCGATGATCTCGCTGGGAGAAGAGGGCCAGATGACAGTTCGACGTTCGTTACAACTTCTGCCTCGATACTTATTTCTCCCGCGAGTGAGACCAGCGAATGCGATGCAATCTCGCCTCCGGAAGTGGAGAAATCATCACCGCCACCGTATACGGGCCTCAGTCCGCCGGAGTACACCGGCCAAGAGTACGAGACCAGCGAAACACCTTCGCCGATTTTTCCAAATTATCCACTGACATCGTACGCGGAGGAGACACATCACAGACGTTCGAGGTCGTCCGTTTCGGACGCCGGGCTTGAATTCACTGCTGCACGTGACGGACGTTTAAAGCGTGATAGCCGATTCGAGTCGGAGCCGGAGGAAGCTTTGGCGGAAGAGATCGGCAGATCGAGGCGAACCAGATCGAATTTAGAAAGGTCTACGGACGACGATATCTCGAGATCTAGAGATGTGGCGAGGCTGCGACCTCCCTTGGCCGCAGCAGCAGGTGTTTCGGCCGATTCTGGGACCGGTGATTCTGGAAGTGCGGAGATCCAAGTGGATCCCCTCGGCATTCCCAGAACAACGACCGCCGGTGAAATTCTAGATGGAAGGAACGGAGTTGAGAATGGCCAAGCCGCTAGTAAGTCGTCCATTAAAACTCCCACCGGGAACAATAAGCAAACGGTGAAACTCTTCACGAAGGAAAGTCTCGACAGGTTGGAAAACAAGACCGTACAGCTCGTCAGAGATTATGGCTTTCAGCCGAAACGACGAATGTCGGTCGAAGATGGTGCGGTGCTTCCAAACAAATTCGAACCTTTCCCAACTGAGCTTTACGGTAGGCCTCTCGAGGAGATTGACAACTTTATCTACGACGAGGTACGTCTTTAGACTCCTGCTTTTTTAAATTATTTTATCGGTTAACCGTTAGTTAACTTGTGATATAATTAGTTAAACGTCATATATTCAATTCGATTAATATGCAGGCTGTGCCGCAACATCGGGGAACCCCTTCACCACCATCAACTCTGCACATGGAAGTAATAGAAAAGGTTCATGCGAACATGCGCACTGTTCTATAAGTAGCTATAGCGAGTTGAGTTATAACTTTGGACTGTTTTTTTACAATTGGACTAATTCTATCAGAAGATGGAGACGGTCGAACTAATCTCGCATACCTATTTACAAACGGAACTCGATATACGACGTTGAACTTTGTATTCTACGCTTGCGAAAATTTCCATTCGATGATAAAACGTCTCCAATCTTCGCATTTAAGCAGGTCATTTTGATTGCATCTCGCGAAGGTATGCAGATACAGTTTGTCAAAGAAAAACCTCGCTATAACTCGGAGACAAGGTCGTATAGAGCATATGTTTAGACAAACCCTTTTCATCTTTCATGCGCAGGATCCACTGCCAAAGTGATTCCCCGATATTGCCGGACACCCCCGGCAGGTAGAGAAGGTAGAGAAGGTAGAGAAGGAATAATTATAGGATTAACATGATTTAAATTTATGATATAATTGTAAGGTTGCAAAAAAAAAATAGTTGCTCGTAAAAAGTAAAACTAATCACCTCGAAACTAGTCGTTTGATTTTTAGTCGTTAAGAGTTTCACTCGATCTTAGTAATGTCAGTCTCGGAGTACGTCATATGCGTTTAGTTATCGAAAATAGCAATGATATCGCTATTTCCTTTTAATTCTTAAAAAGAATATTTCTTCTGGCATATTCATGGCGGAACATTTGATTCATGTATCACTCGTACCGTGTGTTTCAGACATTCTGCGTGGTATCGAAGAGATTTCGTAAAAATTACATTCACCGATTCACGGCGACAAACAGCTGGTTCATATTTTCCCCGTGGAATCCTATAAGGCGGTATTGTATTTACCTAAGCACGAATCAGTACTTCGATTATATAGTCATGGCTACGATAATATTAAATTGTGCCTTCCTCGCCATGACGGAAACTATCGAGGAAGCCGAGTAAGCATTTTCACGCGGGGCGCGCGCAACTTCTCGGATTAATCAAACCTCTAGGAATATAATACGTCGCTTCTTCTCTTTTGTTTTCCAGATATATATTCTTAGCTATATACACGGCCGAAATGGTGATCAAATCGATAGCCAAGGGATTTGCGCTCAATAAATACACTTACTTGCGAAATCCGTGGAACTGGTTGGATTTCGTGGTGATCACCAGTGGTTATGCGACTATTGGAATGGAAGTAGGAAATTTGGCTGGGTTGAGAACATTCCGAGTATTGAGAGCCCTCAAAACTGTTTCCATTATGCCTGGTAAAAATCTTTAAGAAAGCCGACTTTCTACAGACATCTCCCTTTCTTTTCTCTCTTCGAGATTAGGAGAAAATATCGTGTAAAACCCGGTGGCTTCCTAGACCTTGGAAGCGACGGAATTGCAAATTGGTTTCTGGGGATTGCCGTGTTTCTTTAGTTGAAATTACTTTATTAATTTACCTTATCAACACAAAATCACATCAGAAATTTCCGACATTCGTTCGTTCCAATTTAGCTATATCGTCTGCTATGATATACATGGTACACATATAGATAGTGGAATAAATGAAAGGAAGTGATAGTAACGTGATATAAATGCGATAGGGCAGGGATATGCTGGTTATTCGGCTATTACAAAGTGGAGTCATGACTCGAAAAAGATTGAGAAATATTGGCGTTACAGTAAAACATAAACAATATCATTATCGGTCTGATTGACGTGAAACAGACAGAATTGACACAATTCGTAAATCAATGAATGATCAACAAATTTGTTAGAATTGTCTATCAGAAAAAGTTATAAAAAAAAATTGCTTTCGTAAGAAAATAATGGGATGAAAATAAGGATAATCGTTTATCGAATATTTTTGCAGGCTTAAAAACCATCATCAATGCATTGTTACATAGTTTTAAGCAACTTGCCGAAGTAATGACGCTCACGATCTTCTGCCTGATGGTTTTTGCACTTTTTGCTCTACAAGTTTACATGGGTGAACTTCGGAATAAATGCGTAAAAAATGTGGAATTCAATAATACTCAAGTCGATTGGAGAGAGTACGTATTGTTCGCCGTAATATGTTCTACTTAGATTCTAACATGTTGCTTGCAAAGTATTTATACGGATACATATGTATTAACTTGAGAGACAATGGCTCGTTGACTCTCAAGAGGCATTAACCGATACCTTGTACCGACCGCAGGTGGACTTGGAACTCGTCCAACTGGGCATTCGATGAAGACGAAGAACCAATAATTTGCGGTAACGCAACCGGCGCCAGGTTAGCCAAACTTGGTTCTTTATTACGCGCGACTGTTTTAAATGATATGCCAATTTTAACTCGAGAGAAACCCTACGTTTTAGGCACTGCAACGAAAGTTACATCTGTCTTTGTGTTGGCCCAAATCCAAACCATGGATATACAAATTTCGACAACTTTCTGTGGTCGATGCTCACCACGTTTCAACTGATTACTCTGGATTATTGGGAAGACGTCTATAATAAGGTAGTTGGTCAACTTCTTTTCCGCACGGATAATTGTTTCACCAAGGAATCACTATTTACATAACAAGTTAGTTTGCGAGGTATAAAAAGAATTGCTATATTGGTTTTTAGGTATTGTCGGCGTGCGGACCTATCAGCGTCTCGTTCTTCACGGTGGTCGTGTTTTTCGGCTCGTTTTATTTGATCAATTTGATGCTCGCTGTCGTTGCGCTGAGCTATGAGGAGGAAGCCGAAATTACGAACGAGGTATATAATCGTTGCAATTGTTTACCTCGAGTTGTCTGCCTTTGACCTTATCTTGCAACTGATTCGACAGGAACGAAGAAAGGATTTAACCGACCATCGCGAGGACTCGACGTTTAGTTTCGACCCGACAAAAATCAATGTGAAGACGCTTGCCAAAGAAAAACAAAAGAAATTAGACGCGAGGAAAGGAGTTCTCCTAAGTAGTTACACGCGCAAAAAAACACGAAGAAGAAGACGTGGGAGAAGCACTGCCGGTTCTGGTTCATCTGGTCAAGATAAAGGTGGCTCTGTGCCAAGCAGGTATACCATTCGTCATAATAAAGTCGAATTGCTCGACAAATAAGAAAAATCGTTTCAATGATCTTTATTCTAACTTTCTGTTCGATTAGGTCGGTGACGCCAAGCCCGAGCCCAAGTCCAAGACATTCGAACGTTCGACCGTCTCACTTACTTCTACAAAATATTAGCCCACGAACTGTAGAGAATAACAACGGTGTTCATAGATTGGCGCCAAATCGTGGAATGCTTCATTCTCGACAAGCAAGTAACAACAGTAATCAACACTCGTCGTTAGACGACTCAGGCGTTGTCGACGACCACGATGGCGACGATGTCACATCCGTAGAAGAACACGACAGGCGTGACAACAACAAAGAATCTAGGGCCCACTGGCAAGAGAGGATACCTACTAATAATAACGCCGATGGCAATGTCGAAACTAATGCGGGTGAAACGAAGAATGAAACGAATAACGAGACAGAAGTGGACAATGAAAGAGAAAAATCACAGGCAACTCATTCCGGGGGCTATCTTCGTGCGCCTACGAACGTTCCAGTTTCTCTTGCCAGCGGAACTACTAGAGAAATTCGAGTCTTTAAATGCAACGGCGTGAAAACGAAGAAACAGATGTACACCTTGCCGCCAGAGTATCTATCGCACATTGTTATTTTAGGTAGGGGCAACGAATTTTCTTCGTCGTTTGTATATATTCAAAGACAAGATTCGGTAATGATGCAGAAAAGGTGGCCTCAACTCCAATGACTTTAACTTTGAGATATGTTGTAGAGGGGAAGAACCTTAGTAACATGTACTTTGTTCGAGGCGTGGGACGATCGTGATTCAAAAATTACGTTAGGTTAAATTTTTTTAGGGAAATCCTATAAAGTCTAATCGTAATTTATTACTATTTATAATAATGCAACAAATATCGTTTTTCTTTTGTCATAACTTTCGAACCACGATCGTCTCACAACTCGGACAAAATGCACGTTACTCATAATCCTAACCGGAACATATTCGTAATTTAAAAAAAATTGGAGTTGATTACTTATAATTACCCAAGATTCCATACAACAGTTATAACGATTCGTTTATCGCTGGGTTTCAGATGATCTTCCCGATAGAAATTGCGAAAAGTGCATCCAATGCTGTATAGATTACGAGGGTTGGCTACGATTTCAGAATTGCTTGTACAAGGTAGGTATGCCAAAGAGGTAAAAGTAGAGTCGAGAGAGGAACGCCTTCGGATATGAAAGCAAGTATTTCTATCTAATATAACGAGTTCGATATTCGTTGCGGATATGTTAGTCAAGCTGAATGATAACGAATAACGAACCAGTTATTAGTAAAATACGATAAATAAGGCTAAGGATAGCAAACGAGAAAAATGAAAACGCTTGACTCTCGATTGACCAGTGGCTCGTATCTAGGTAGTGAGAGATCCACTATTCGAGTTGACAATCACATTGTGCATCGTCCTGAACACTGGTTTTCTGGCAATGGAACACCACGGAATGAGCGAGTCGATCCGACAGGCGCTCAACATCGGTAATAAAGTGTTTACCAGTATCTTCACCTTCGAATGTTTGCTGAAACTGTTGGCGCTGAGTAAAGATTTCTTCGCCAACGGATGGAACAATTTCGATTTGATAATAGTGTCAGCGTCTCTGATAGATCTTACCTTCGAGCTGGTAGACGGCCTGTCCGTGATACGCGGACTGAGACTTCTGCGCGTGTTAAAACTGGCACAATCCTGGACGACGATGAAGGTTCTTCTCAGTATTATTATTTCAACGATCGGCGCCCTTGGAAATCTCACCTTAGTTTTGGTGATCGTGATTTATATATTTGCCGTGATCGGCATGCAATTATTCAGTAAAGACTACACTTTGGACAAATTTTACCCAGATCCGGTACCACGGTGGAACTTTAACGATTTCTTTCACTCGTTCATGATGATATTTCGTATATTATGCGGAGAATGGATCGAGCCCCTGTGGGACTGCATGCGAGCAGAAGAAGAAGACGGGCCCGAGGCTTGCTTCGCCATATTTTTGCCAGCTCTCGTAATGGGTAATTTCATGGTGTTGAATCTTTTTCTTGCTTTGTTGCTCAACAGCTTTAATTCGGAGGAATTGAAACAGAAGAAGGAGGAAGTGGGCGATGACTCGAAACTCGCAAGATCGTTCGATCGTATCCGTTCGATTATACGGAAGAATAAATGTTCGCGCTTGTCTCAAGCTGTCGCTAAAGGGAAAGGGAAGGATGCTCGTTTCGAAAAGATCGTGCGACGCGTAATAGATCGGTCTGACAACGAGACTAAATACGCTATTCAAGAGACTGTACTCAGCCTTCCAAAAGATAACGTTTACAATAGATCTTATCAAGAAAGTTTAAATCAGCCCGTTTTTTCTTACGATCCAATGTACTCTCAGTCTCAAACGGAAGAACAAAGATACAGACAAAGGGATAAGGAAGAAGAGAAGGACGCCTCGCCTGACGACGAAAACAATTATTCGAGTAAGGAAAAAGAGATCGAGGAAAACGAAGGCAAAGAGGAGGGATGTCAAGAGGTCGATGTCGTGAGAGACTCTTCGTCTTCGAACAAAGCACCAGTTGAGGAAAGAGTCGCGATGCTACCTCAGATAGATCCGTTTCCTAGACCCGAGGATCGGGTACCAAAACGACCTTGGCACGCGCTTGTCAGCTACGTCGATGAACTGACGGTTGGCGGTAGGAGAGATAGTAAAGGAAAATACATCGATGGCATGGGTTCTTTTCCTGGATTTGGAAGAAGCAACCGACGCAAAGAACCGCAGGATTGCTTTCCACGACAGTGTTATCAGAAGTAAGAACCTACTACTGCACTTTGAATTTCTCTCCTGCCAGCGAATCAATATGATAGCAATACGTTATATGTGCAGGTGTACCTGCATCGACCGGTGTATTGCAACAGCTATCGGCAAAAAATGGATCAGAATGCGAACAGTGATTCTTTCAGTCGTTGACACGCCTGCCTTCGAATGGATGATCCTAGTTTTCATTTTTGCATCCTCCATAACTCTTTGTTTCGAAGACATTTATCTAGATGATAATCCTTTCTTGAAGAAAATCCTCTATTGGACCAATCTTGGCTTCTGCGCGCTTTTCAGCATTGAGATGTTACTCAAGTGGTTAGCTCTGGGTTTCTGCAAATATTTCACCAGTTTTTGGACAATCTTGGATTTTATAATTGTCTTTGTAAGTAGAGCCTATACATTCAACAGCAGCATCGATTTCGTATCGTATATATGTGTTTACGTGTATGTGTAAGCGGCAGCATATACGGGCGCGCGAGCGCATGCTGTGTAAATTTTAACGTCCATCGTTGCTGCATGGATTTTTCATTCCCGCTGATCGTAACTATCCTGTTGCGATTTCGCTACTTTTTCTCGCTGTTTCCTTCATTTTTATGCATTTCTTTCTCAATCTTTTATATATGTCGCCTTGCGGATTCAGGTACGTGCGAAATTAATATGTTGCTCCTATTGCATCCAGTTATGGTTGAACTATATTTCTGACGCTTTACGTCTTATTTTGGTTCATCATAATTTCGCTAATGTTACCTAATTTATTTATCTCTTCTTCCTATATTATCTGCCACTTTCGATATTTGTGGCGGTCATAACGTTAGTTTTAACATAGCAATTGTAAGTTTATATTTTACAATTGGTTATAAAAATTTGTGCACGACATACCCTGAGTCTACGAATATACAAGGCTCAATAGAAATTAATTAAAGATAATTTCATGTAGCTTTTATACAAGTCTTCTTACTTAATGCGACAAAAGAATGTATTCTAACTTTTTATACATTTATAGATATGTGTACCATGGATCGAAGAGAATACAGGATTTGACAGAAATAGTGCAGCCCTTAATCACTTGTAAAATGCTTGAAAACAAACTCACCAGTACTGCTTTGCATGACATTCTAAACGCCGTTATTATCGATGTTTCGCTGGCTGTTCATACAAAGTAGCTGTGCAATTTTCGTTTATTCAATTCCTTGTAATTTGAAGTTTGTATAGAAAATCTGTAAATATGAGAATTTGTAACCATTTTCTTTTGAGTTAAACAAGCACTAATTATTACATTAAATTTACGATAATACACTGCCAAGCTAAATGTACAAACAGCATGTTATTTTTTGGAGGTTCGAAGAAACGAACGTGTCTTTTCAACAATTGTAATGTAACTTTTCTTGAACAGGTATCAACATTTAGTCTGTTGATAGAAGAAAACGAAAATTTAAAAGTGCTAAGATCTCTAAGAACCTTGAGAGCACTGAGACCATTAAGGGCGATATCGAGATGGCAAGGCATGAGGGTAAGGAATTTGCTGTAGACTATGCTGGTAGATTGCTGGTAGATCTCCTGGGAGCTTGAAATTTAGGAGTATCGGCTGTTTCTTTTTTGTCCTGGCTAGATCGTAGTGAACGCGTTGATGTATGCGATACCTAGTATATTCAACGTGCTCCTCGTCTGTCTCGTGTTCTGGCTGATATTTTCTATTATGGGTGTACAATTTTTCGGCGGCAAGTTTTTCAAATGCGTTGACGAGTACGGCGAATTATTAGATATATCAGTAAGTAGAATCTCTTCTCTATCCTCTTTCTCTGCTTTGACGATGGCAAAAGCAGAGTACAGTGGAACTCTGTTTATATGAACGAAATTTTAGTAATGTTTAATTAACTAAACTCTAGCTGAGCTTCTATCATGCCTGGACTACCGTCCAGTATTAATCCACTTATATGAATGTCTAAAGAAGCGTTCGCTCGATCGATATTATTGTCAATATTTAAGGTTCTTAACATTGTATCAACAATATATCGGATTAGACTTTAGGAAAAGACAGACTTTAGGAGCATGCAGCACTCATCAAATAAGCAGTCCCGGATTTACAAGACGTTTTCTTACTTCAAATCTGTAACATAATATTTAAATACAACGTTTTCCAGCTGGTGAACTAGACGTGGCTGGCCTGTAAAATGACACTCTATATATTGATCAGCTGGACTCTAGAGGACCTGTTAAACTTGATTCAAACTAACGATCACTGTATGGTCAGATCAGGTCGAATCAGGCACAAGTCAAGAGATTTTCATTTGGCTTGAACCGCTTACTGCGAATGCTCTTATCGGATTATGTGTAAACGATTTTGACCGGTACCTAATTTAACGTGATTTGACCGTGATCGCTGGTGCGAATCGTCACTTACATAGGAAAATGTTCAGAACCTTAAATACCGACAATGATATTAACAACGATGTTGGTAGGTGGGAAGAAATAGGTGGACTGCTATTTCTAAAATTTCATAAAAATATATGAACGAGCTGGTTATATGAACCAACTTGTCCCCCGACAGGTTCATATAAACGGAGTTTTGCTATATCAGGTTGCGAAAAGCAAGAAAGGAATATTCGAATCGACGAACGTTACTTCTTAGATCGTAAACACGAAAGACGACTGTCTGAGGAAAAATTACTCTTGGGAAAATAGTAAAATTACGTTTGATCACGTCGGAATAGCTTATCTAGCTCTGTTCCAAGTAGCCACATTCGAAGGGTGGATGGAGGTGATGCAGGATGCAGTAGACGCAAGAGGTGTAGATCTTCAGCCTCAAAGAGAAGCAAACATCTACGCATATTTCTACTTTGTGATATTTATCGTTTGTGGCTCCTTTTTTACACTAAACCTCTTTATCGGAGTAATTATAGACAACTTTAATATGTTGAAGAAAAAGGTAAGAAACACAACCGATCAAAAAGACGTTATCGAAGAATAACTCTATTACGTATTTCATCGAACGCTGAAACATTTTTTCCATTCCCCTTCTTATCCTTTTTATCCCTATTTTCAGTACGAAGGTGGGGTGCTAGAAATGTTTTTGACCGAAAGTCAAAAGCACTACTACACTGCCATGAAAAAGCTTGGCCGTAAAAAGCCACAAAAAGTGATAAAGCGTCCGATGAATCAAATCCTCGCAATGTTTTACGACCTATCGAATTCACGCAGGTAACGAATTTCAGTTTTACTTGTTCATTTACGTTCCCTTTTTTCTTAACTACTCGTCTCTTTTTTTTCAAGAAGCACGACTACGTTTTGCCAATTTCGTTTTATAAACAACTACGATGTTTCCAGATTTGAAATAGCAATTTTCATTTTGATATTCCTCAACATGCTGACAATGGGAATCGAGCATTACGATCAGCCTCATCCAATCTTCTTCGTTCTCGAAGTGTCCAACGCATTTTTCACGACCGTTTTCGGTTTAGAGGCAATCGTGAAAATAATTGGGCTTCGATATCATTATTTCACGGTGCCATGGAACTTGTTCGATTTCCTCCTCGTGCTGGCATCCATATTAGGAATATTAATGGAGGATATTATGGTAGACTTTCCGGTGTCTCCGACGCTCCTGCGAGTCGTGAGAGTGTTCAGAATCGGTCGAATCTTAAGGCTCATAAAGGCAGCCAAAGGTATTCGTAAACTGCTCTTCGCTCTGGTGGTTAGTCTTCCGGCGCTGTTCAACATCGGTGCCCTGTTAGCTCTAATTACTTTTATTTATGCCATTATCGGCATGTCAGTCTTTGGTCATGTTAAAAAGCAAGGCGCGCTCGATGATATGGTGAGTAAACGTTATTAAAACCTTATCGTCTATTTCTCTGAATCTTTATTCCTCCGATCACATATTATCTGAACACGACATGCTAATTGATATTTCTTTGTTTTTCTCTTTGTGTTTTCCTTTTCGTTCCTTTTTTACTCATTTTCTGTAGGTAAATTTCGAAACTTTTGGTAGAAGCATGCAATTACTGTTTCGATTAATGACATCGGCCGGTTGGAATGATGTGTTAGAGTCTTTGATGGTACAACCACCGGATTGCGATCCGACTCCGACTAGTCGACAAATGAATGGAAATTGCGGATATCCTCTCTTGGCAATAACATATTTTACTTCTTTCATCATAATCAGCTATATGATAGTTATCAATATGTACATTGCTATTATCCTCGAGAATTTTAATCAGGCCCATCAAGAAGAAGAGATTGGTATCGTCGAAGACGATTTAGAAATGTTTTACATACGATGGTCCAAGTAAGAATTGCTTTTCAACTGCCTTTTTATGCGTATAACAATACTATCTTTGGTTATACTTTCATTCGGGATTTGGCATTAACGTATGTAACTGTGATTCGTAGGTATGATCCGCACGCGACACAGTTCATAAATTTCTCGCAATTAAGCGATTTCATAGCAAGCCTGGATCCACCGTTAGGAATTTCAAAACCAAATATGGTCGCGTTGGTTAGCTTTAATCTTCCTATCGCAAAGGGTAATAAGATTCATTGTCTGGACATTCTGCACGCACTTGTCAAGCACGTCCTTGGACACGTAGAAGAGTCTGAAGATTTCCGAAAGCTACAGGAACAGATGGATATCAAGTTTAAGAAACAATTTCCTACGCGCAAAGAACTTGAGATTGTTTCTTCGACGAGAATGTGGAAACGTCAAGATAAAGCAGCTAGGCTGATTCAACGTACTATCAGAGAATTTATAACGTAAGTAACTAATCTTCTATTTATTCTTCGACACGTTCACTGTGCTCCGGGGCATATATATAGGGTGTCCTCTTAGATTTAAAATTTAAGGTTTAAGATTTAACCCAGTCCCATACCTCATGTCAATTTGACACATTTTTCACGTTAATAATGATGTTATTCTGTCATTTGTAAAAAAAATTGATCCGAGCTTTTCTGACCTTTATTTCTTTTAATATGAAATGTAAATATTTAATATTTTTAGTGACAAAACATGCGACAAAAATGTATGACGGTTGTTACAAAGGGCCCTATGCGTCAATCTGACATGCATGATTCTTACGTTTTATCAAGTCCTTTGACAGTTAATTCGTCGCCTTGTAATTGTTGCACGACAATTATGCATTCATTGTGTACGACCCATTCAGAATGCAGCTAGACGTGTATAGATTGTTCTTTAAAATACAATAGAGTTTGAGGTTTTACGATGACGTATCGACAAACGGTATTTTGGTTATATATATAGGGGAAAATTAATAATATTAGAATTATCAATACAGTGAACGTGTTAATGGTATCTTGTAATGCGGATCGCAATAGAAATTCCATTGTGTTCAGGGCAAAAAAGGAACGTGAAAGGATGGCTCAAGAAGTAGACTCGCAGACTCAAACGTCGAGTCCTGGTGGTGGGAATGAGGGTAGGGGCGGGGGTGGATGGAGTGGCAAAGTATCGGCATTTCTACATGTGCATAGAGGTAGCCGAGCCAGTAGTCGCAAGTCCTCGAGGGCCAGCGACGCCAGCGATTTCAGCGAGCTCGGTACAGCTTCGGCATGGCTTTTTCCAAACTTACCTCTGCTGTTGCTCTCCGGCGCCACCGGTACTCACGAGGACCTGCCTCCTCCCGCTCTAACCGTATCCCGTCCCTCGCCGACTACAGAACAACAATCGTTTACCGGCTCCTCTGCTACTTCTGCTACTTCCTCCGATCTACACATTAGGTTTGCGTTTCTCCATTTACTCGCAATTAACTTGGGGTAACCAAAAACATCTCGATAATTTATAACAGTTATTCGTAATTAAAACCGATTAAACTAATTTATTGACTGTTATACAGCACCTATTTTTATTTTTATTATAACTGTTATGGTCGTTGCTTACAACAGATCAATCGGGGGTCCGACTCTCGGCCGGCAGAATGCCGTTGAAAGTTATCCCGATGAGGAAGTCCCCAGTCTTCCTACGAAGCGCAGATCACTTCCGCCAAGCGCTACAACACTCTCTCTAAATACCTTACATCGTGACATCAAAGAAGCGTTTAGCAGACGTTGCGGTAGCCTCCGGAAGAAACATCAACCAGCACCAGAACCAGCTCCGCTGCCAATCGAATCTACCGATGTAAGCATACTTGTTACAGAACCCAGTCCAGAGAATTCAGCACCGCCTACAAGACCGGCACTACTTAGACGACAATCCGCAGCCACGGTCGTTCACGTCCTCGTTCACAGAGAGAGTGAAGAATATCGAGATACACAACCCGACAATGCCAGTTGATCTTAGATCGTTATGCTTGACATCCTTCCGAAATCAGTTTAAACGAGAGGCTAGGCTGAAAGCCACCGAAATTTTGCTTCTTATCGCGTTACAGTGACCTCGAGATTCGAATCTCATCCGATTCCCTCTCCTCTCCCCCTTTCTTTGACGCTGTTGCCTTAACATCATTACCATCAAATGTTCTTACTATTTCATTATAATATGTACATTTGAGAAGTCTCGATGAAATTATTTCCTAACAATTACAATAGTAATAACTTTATAAGAATATTTATTCCGATAATTAGATCTTCTTGTAAACACAGTACGATTTTTCTTTTACAAAAGCTATTCTAACGATACTTTTGATCCTAATGAATAATAGTAGCCTATTTTTAGTAATCAATTTATCGCGACGAGCTTAAATCTTTTCTTATGCAATAGAAACAGCGATAGCTGGAATATATATAGTTGAGGTAGTTCAATTGACTCGATATTACACGAAACTCGCATTTCTTCTACCATAATTAAGGGTGATTGGACCAATTTAGTGAAATATATTTAAATTCCGATCCCTTCTTCAAGTTAAATCATTGATACGGTCTACTCCTTATAAAGAGGAATGAATAATAATTACGTGGACAAAAGAATAATACTGCCTTAAATAGCATAGATTTTTCATTTGTATAATTATTTTGAAGAAAGAAACAAAAAGGACAAAAAAGAGAGGGAAAGAGAAGATGGAAGGAGGAAAACCAAACGGGAATTTTTAAAGAAGTTGTACACTTAGCCAAGTAGTTGTTTTTCTTTACACATTTAAGGAAACGTAGAATACTAGTACCGCTACTAATTTTGTATATCAGATATCATAAACAATAGCATTTATAGAACGTAAACGTATGTGATGTTTGTCTTATTCAGAATTGTCAAGGAAATTGCGATATTTCTAATAAGTAATAAGATTACATGCTTATCGCTAATTTAGAATTAATAATATTTCTTTGTTTTCGTTCCATATTTGTTAGAAAGAAAGACTTTCTCTTCTGGACACGTTATAGCATTCAGGTAATGAATCGTACATTCACTACGCTAATGATCGATATTCAGCTTTCCGTATATGTATATATGTGCTAACTTTATAATCAATGTTATCTGTTCAAGAATATTGGAGAAAATGTAACGATATTTTCTTTTATGTTGGAATCAAATAACTAACAAAGAGAAACAGTAATGTTCTGATTAAGCGAAATTAAAATTTGGTGCATTTTAACCAGCTTGGAGTACCAATTCCAATATACAGTACAATTTTGTAGCTTGTTTTATAATATTATAATTAGCCATATATGTATATATATACGCGGAAAACCTGATATCGATCATCGATAATCAACAGAATAGTAAATTTATCGAGAATCTGTTAACATGTATGAAAATCGAACAATGCCCAGAAAGGATGGCTCTCTCTCCTCTAACGTTCGTCATAGCATTATTTTGAAATAAAATGCATTAATATGTTACATTACACATATAATTATACTTACATATCGCACGGTATCTATTGCTCAAAAAAGAAAGAAAAAAGGAAAAAACGGAGAAATCATAATGAATTTAAACTTTATTTTCAAATTCATATTGATTTCTACATTGGCATAATATACAGTATGTTCTGTTTAGCTGAGAACACTCGAATATCTGGAAAAATACAAAAGCTGTATGGTATCGAATGGAACATACTGTGCTTTTATCTGTTTGACCTTGCAATAACTTAAAGACGTCTTGTAAAGACGATAATCAAATTTTTTAATGGATACCTCCATTTTTTATTACATATTCTTGTAACTGATATTCAGATGTTTACAAGACACTACAAACTTACGTCTTTCGCATCACCCGTTATCGAGATATTAACTTTCAAATTCGACAGATCAATAGAAGGAATTACCTAATCTGAAAATGACGGCTCAGAACTGACAGACTGTTTCGGAAACATTAGAAACATCATTACATGATATACGTCCCCGTGGTGTACATCGGGTAACTGTGATGCAGCGGCACATTGAATTTTAAAGTTCATATTTTGATGGCAGATGGTGCAAAAGACACCAGTTTGTAATCTTTTGAACACGTTCTAAATGTCAGCTACAAGAATATTTAATAAAAAATAGAAATAGCCGTTAAAAAATTTTAATGCATGATCCAAGGTCGTCGCAAGGTGAAATAGATAAAAGCACAAATAGATAATGTCTCCCTTGATACCATGCACTTTTTTGTATCATTTTCATTTTTCCAGATATTTGAGCGTTTCTAGTTAAACAGGACATACTGTATGTATTGCTTTTCTTTCCATTTTCTATATAATTAAAAAACAACAAATCAAGAGCAAGCCAGTAAATATAGCTACATACAGTATGTCAAGTGACAAGAAAAGACAGTATTATAGATATCTTTGCTTTTTTGTTTATTTCATTCAACTAATCGTAAAACGATAAAGGTTTATGTAAACCTAACGATGTATACTTGTCTTCGAAGAGAAATCTTATAAGTTTAGTAATTGACAAACTGAGGATATAAACGAATAAGGTAAAATTTCTACATATTTAGAACAATGATACAATTTGCTTTTATAATTTTATTGAAATTCGTGAAACTGAATTTATCAATGAATTTATACCAATCTAGAAAGAATTATTTTCTTTTACGAATAAAATTGTATAAACAATAAACAGTATAAACAGTTTTTACTTTTTAACTATTAAAGACTATTATATTTAGAACTGTACTTTGTATGAAAGAAATTTTTAAATCTTCGACGATGAGTATTATAGATATCGCTCATTTAATACAACAAGGACATCACTTGAATAACTTGAATTATTGATACAGAAAAAATAATTGTTCCTTGTATGTACCTCTTTTGGAATTTTATAAATTAACTTCAAAAATTCACCACGTCAGGGCAACAGTTGTCCGCTATTATTTATACTAATATCTGTCGCTGTTGCATCATCATGAAACTATAACAGTTTAAAACATTCAAACTCGTTTTCGCTAAAATCGTGATTTTCATGTTATGTTATTGTTGCAGCAAATGAGCGATATGTAATGTATACATATGTATATATACGTGTATCATATAATGTTGTATATATATATATATGTATACGTATAAATATAAAATTAATATGTATAAAAATAATTTTTTATTTTATTTTTTCTTTGTTATGCTAAATTTGTGTGACAAAATCATAGAAAACTATGTCATCTAACATCCGTACAACATGGAACTAAAAAGTAAGAAATATTTAATGACAGAAAAGGAGAGAGGTAGGAAAGGGCGGAAGGAAGAAGTGGGGAAAAAATTTTTTAAATAGATTCACATAGAGAAAGGAACAACGAATTTTGTAGTAATTAGTTATATTTTTAGCGTAACCTTATTGGATCATCTTCATTTATTTATTTGTTTATTTAATATTCAAATCCCTAAAATTAAAAAAGTCACACAATTTATTGATTCTTATAACAATAGATGTTCACGTTAACATTTTCATACTTTCCTTTCACAAATTAAACGTTGCCATTAACACGTCACGACCTCTCGTGGACCTATAGTGCCTATTGTTAGAAAACGATTGCGAGTTAATATAATATGTATACAAAAATATAAACATGTATATTAGAGTTTCATATTACAAAGCGTTCGTACATGAAAACAGTACGAGCTAAATTTACGTAAAAATCTCTCGTTAGAACGTACAACGTACGTTACTTTTAGAGTTTAGCATTTAATGCTTAATGCTTGATAAATCTGTTTCTTCGCGCGTTGACTATAAGACATAGTTATTAAGTATTAAGGATCACTGAGAAAAAAGTCGATAAGTGAACCAGACAGAAAGATATGATTAAAGATAAAAATTTAATATTTCGAAAATATAATTTAATTCGAAAATGTGATCTTTCCAAGACACGCATTGTAAAGCTATGTATCATGTCAATTAAAGGCATAAATTATACTGTATGTTATTCATAATTGGCGCCTATATGCGCGATACGTCTAGATACTACATACAATATTATAAATATATCAAAAACATAAGAGACTGGACATAACACGCGACTATCTTAAAACTAACGGATAGTAAAATTCCAAAAAATTGTACAATCACGCTCGGATATCCACCAGGGGTCCGAAATTATTTAGATTATAAACTTTTTTGCGTGTCTGCGTGCTGCGTGCGTGTGTGTGAACAAAATTCGATAAAACAACACCTGCTCAAACCTATACATATTTAAATACACCGTCAGGATGCACTAACCTAACTATAAATTATTATTGCAACTATCAGCTTTTTCTTTCGACGCTGGAACGTGCGATCGATCGTGCAATTCATTGTTAGCCCCAATTAGTTTAACGTTTCTCACATTTTTTTATATAAAAAAGACAGGAAAATGCATCAAGGTGACAATATTGTTCACACAATACAATGAAACAACAACAAAAATCGAATGTTCTTTCATTCGGGCGAAAACAAAAAAACGTATAGTTATGAGAAATCTCTTAAGTAATAATGTTAAAACGAGAGATACCCATTAGTACAGGGTTAATGACAATCGAGGTCTTGAAGGAAAATTGCTTTTTTCTATTCTTCCACCATTTTACGCAATTTACTTTGAAAAAACTTAGTATAACTATTTCAAAATAATCAATATCGTTTACTCTTAACAGTCAATACTCTATTGTTAATAAATAATAATTTCAATTTAATACAAAATTAAAATTATAACGCTGTTAGAAATTCACTATAGATGAAAGAATATAGATCATGTTTTAACATTCAACAATGATGAAGATATGACAAAATATAAAGATAAAGATTAGGCGGAAGGAGGGGCGAAGAAGCAAGCAAACAGACAGAGCAGAAAATTCTGTACTAGTGTTGTAATGATTCATCAGAAAAAAATTAAAAAAAGAGCAGTAAAACGTTCCTTTAGATCAAACTTGTAAATAGTATAATGATCCTTTAGTTTGCAAAAATGACTGTTTTGTCATTTAAATTTATAAACAAAGACTCGAGCATTGTTCTTCCATATATATATATTAGTTCCAGTTAAATTTTATGTAAATTTCTATTTTCTTAATTGTTTCATAAACTCATTAGTAATATTACACTATGCATTTCAATTTAGTATGCTTTTAAATCATAATTGGCATATGTTTAAGTCATACTTTTGTATCTAAGTCAAGTTTCTTCTCTAAACTTCTAACATATATAATATACTTGTACGAATGTACTTCCTCTTTATAATATTAACAATGCTCGATATAGTTTATAAGCTAATACGAGCAAATACTGAATTTTGAAATACAGTCTAATCAAATCTGACATTATAACACAAATGCTAACGATACTAATAAGAAACAGGTGAATAATAAGAATGTTAACCATGTATGAATGATATTATATAACTATTGCTAAAAAATAAATTGTGGAGTTTATCATTGACATTTGTTTAAATATTGTAATGTTACTGTTATGTTAGTCTAAAAAAATTTATTTGTAGTCTAAAACTTTACATACAACAATTAAATATATAATAATTTGGAACTATTCATTGAACTATAATCATTATTCTCTAATATATTTTTATTTGGTCGAAACCCTAGTACGCTTGTTCCATGAGAAGTTGGTACCATAACTACGAGGCTTGGGACTATTAACATTTGGTTTCTGAATATAATATTCCCATCCCATCTTATTGCAATGTGCAATAGCTTCTTCCTTTGTAGCAAATGCTACCTGAACATTAGACAAAGGGTCTCCACTATGAAGCAAAATATATCATTAATTAAAGTTTCTATAAGTAAAGTTTAATATATTATATCATACTGACGTGGAAGTCCATCCCATAAGAGGATTCTCCCAACGTTCACGTGTATCAAAGTCCAATTGCCAGT